ATTTTTAATGGCATATGATTTTATTTGAAAAAAGATCATCAATTTAATCTTGTTTGGAAAATTGCCAATTAGTGACATTTTCTTCATGTTTCATGTTAGTTATTTGTCTGAATGGGAAAGTGATTTAGATTCATTTTTGGTAGAAGTAGAAGGAAAAAAAAAAACTCTCTGCAAAGTGCGAAGACACGGGCTAGTGTAGACCAGCTCGTGTCGAAAAAAAAAATTCGATTGCTCCCACGCACTGCGGAGCTGATGCTCCGCATCAGGCCTTTTTTTTAATACTGTGCAAACAATAACAAATTTCTATAAATAATATTAAAAAAATTTACAAACACTTATTTTTAAATTTAGGTGATACAATTTACTTATATTTTACACAAATTAAATACAATTTCACTTATTAATGATTTAATTCAAAAACATTAATAAAAATTATAAAACCGTTTACTGAACTTAGGTCGATCTCCGTCAGGGGCATTGCCCCCTGAGCCCCCACTGTCCCATCGACCCTCGTGACCTATCACTATTTGTATTCTATCTTCCATCCATTTGTATCCGTCTTCGAGTCAAAGAAAGAAACCCTAGAAATCGCATTTTCATATTCTTCACTTTCTCTCATAGAAATTTTTGCAGATTCACTTGTGTGTTCTTGTTCCCTAATTTGTATTGTGTTCGTTTTTGTTCATTTCTTGTCTGTTTTATGTTGTAAAATCTACCGGGTCGCTCAAAAGGTAAGATTTACTGTTGTTCGAACATAAACTTTGAGATCTAATTTGTTTTGATAATTTCCATTTCCCTAATATGTGTGTTGATTTTCATCGTTTTCTGATGTGAAGTTTACCGGTTCAGTGAGAAGGTAAGATTTAAATACCTTTAGGTAAACTCAAAGGTTCGGAGGACAAATTGCCTGAAGCACAACTGACTTCGCACTTCTCCGCCGTTAATTTCCTGTCGAAGGCTCGCTTTTTTCCTCTGCGATCATTTGCCGAGCTAAGGGAAGATTCGTTTGAAGCACTTTCTTTTGCCCTAAAGTTCTAGCGACCAGTTTCGTCCTTCTCGCCTGTGTTTTTATGATCAATATAAAACAAGTTTTCATTTTTCCCTCATAAAAATTGTTTAAATCTCAAAAATTGTGAAGGGGCATCTTCAATAACAAATTACTTGTTTGGCAAAGCGGCATTTTTCCTTGTTGATTGATTTACCAATGAGTTTATGGTAATGGTTGCATAATTTATCTTGTTTAAATGGTTTTGTGGGAATATTAAAAATGTAACAGTGGTTGATTTTCGTATTATGAAATTTGACCTTTGAAATTCAAGAAAGAATGGTTTAGTTGGAATTCGTCTATCATCTGCAATGCCGTACTTGACCTTTTGAGTTATTTAATCTGATTGAATCTTCTTGAATGATGGGTTTAATCTATAAGCAAGCTTCATTTCGTTAGGAATTTATTTTTGAAAATTGGTATGCAACTTTTGAAGTGAATATTGATTTCTTTGTGAATATGATGTATATTATATGTTATCAAGTCAATAAAATGAGTTTAATCTTAACAACATAGCCTGACAAACTAGATTGGGAAATTAAATGTCAAATAGATTGATGGAATTACTCACAATCAAAGTAAATGGGAGTAGTTTTCAAATTATTTTGCATATTGTATTCCAGATTTCTAAATCATTACATTTTATTCTACATGTTTCCGACTTGAGTGTACGTTCTTTTAGGAGTAGACCACTATGTTTAAAGAACATCCAAGCAAACAATTGAGATTTTGAATGGAATAGGTAAGGGTTTGGAGAATCAACTGGAATCTCTAAAGGCTGTGATACAAGATTTAAAGGCCAAGACTTCATTTTTTATTGCTACAACTTCCGAAGCAGTGGTAAGCTTGTTGATTTTTGGGAGCAATTATTCATTAATTATACATACATATATATCTATATATATATATATATATAATTGAAGATGGTGGAGTTTGTGAGTTTTGTTAATTTAAATTATTCATCTATTATTATTTCAAGGTAGCTCTTTTCTGCTTTAAAACTACTACTTGGCAAATGCTAAACAATTTTGAAGACATCTAAGTTTTCATTAGTGTTATAATGAGTTATAAGCAGTAGTTGTTCAAATAGAGTAAAGTTAATAAAATTAAGTTTTAAGCGGAATTCCCATTGAATTTTTGCTTCTTAGTTCATGTGTTTATAATCTAAAATTTCAAAATTTTCATTGTGTTCCAGGTTGCTGAATGAATTTGAGGCCAACAAGGTTAGTTATCCAATTCTCACATATTATGATTTAGCATTTAAGTGTTGCACACAGTCTTCAATGTGATTAATGAAATGAAATCTAAAGCTAATGTCAAAAAATTTGCAAATTATAGGAGAGCTAAAATGACAGCGGAATAAGATTCTTTTGTAGATGCACTTTTACAACCCAACCCCACATCACCCCTACCTCCACTTCATAGAAGCCTCCCACCCCTTAGCAAGAACATATCTCACTCTTTCTTTTGCAACAGTAGCAATCTCAATTTCATAGACATTTGAAATTTTGAACCCTGGTATTAATGCTCAAAGCCAATCCTTCACCCGCCCTTACAGATGATCCTTAGTGTGGGTGTTATATGAGTAATGCATAGAATAGCATGACATAGTTGAATTAATCTAGATGCTTTCATGAGAGGTTTTATAAACTTTTGTCCGCATTACTTGACTTAGCAGTCTTGAGCATGTTTTATGAGAAGTCTCGGTANTTGACCTGGTTTTCCTCTTGTAGGTCCGATAGGGAAATTTTGGGTCCTAACATTCAATATCTCCCCAAAATTGTTGCTATATTTGTTGAGGTTTAGTTCTTGCCGTATGACCACTTAATAACTTTCTTTGCATTCTATTGTGGTATGATATTCCAAAGAGAGTATTACAATATAATTAGCCTCCACTTGACTAGGGGATCTTTGGACATTAATATACATGAATATGCTCTGAAAGTCATCATTTTATTTTTCGTCTTGCATGTTTAGAGAATTCTCCTATCTTTGAACATTTCCCCCAAAAGAAATTCTGTATTGTTCGTAGGGTCCACAATTTGACTATCAACCCTTTCTTTTGCTACATGTTCTATGTGCATGTAAAGATTTTGCTACAGAGCTAACTAGTAGTCTAATGATCAATCTATTGAGGCAGCTTAAACATACACTTCCACCATCAACTTTTGCCTCTACATAGTCATCCTTATAGCCTCAGCAGCAACTTGCATCATAGTCAATTCTTTCAATGTATTATGCGGTGCTGAATTAAGTCAGATAAATTTTGTCTTTCTATTTGATAATTTTCTTTTATACAAATGTGTGTATGAAAATTTTGTAATACAATCTCTCATCTAATCTTTAGCATTCAAAATGCTAATATTACCTTAAAAATAACTCAACCCATGCATTGCACGGGGCAAAAACTAGTATTTAGAAAATTGGTCAAAAAATTGTCTAATGTAAATGTCTCAAGAGGTTGAGGTTGAACCGGCAATAACAATTGCCATAACAATTTTTTTGCGAATACTGAATTTTCCCATAATTAACTTGAGTAATTTAACTTAGGGCCCCTTCGGTATGGATGAAAATCAGATTAAAATTAAAAAAATAGTTGTTATTATTGACTTTTATTAGACGAGTGGGACCCAATAACGGCCATATTTTCAATTTTAATTGGATTTTAATCCCTACCGAACGAGGCTTTAATCTGAAATCTTGTCATAATTTAGTAGAGAGTGCATAATAAATGGCGAAAATTGCAGCGGAGGTCTCAAACCTTTCATTTTGTTGCAGAGTACACTTTAACATTTCGTTTTTGCAATCGTAATCCCAAACTTTTCACTTTAACGACCGCCGAAGTCCATGGACAGGTTCCATCCAGAATTTCATTAGTCAACATTGAAATTGTAATTTTGACTCAAATTGACAAATTAAATGAGGAGTAAAATGATATATTTATATTTCCTATAATATACTAATAAAATGGAAAATCGTGAAAAATGAAAATAAAAGAATTTCATCTTCTCCAAATCTCCTGCCCCACCCCATACTACATCGCCTAATGTGTTTTATGATGAATTTCATCTTCGATAATGGAAGGTTTGAGACCACTGTTTCAATTTTTCGTAATAAATATACACAAATAAGGATAAATTATTTTTTTATGGAAGTCAAATTCGACCTTTGTTTGGTTTTCATTATTTTCAAAAATAGATTTTTCTCTCTTTATTTTCAATCACACATTCTTCAATAAAATAATATTACACGCAAATTCAAAAATTTTTCTTATTTTTTAATTATACATTTTCCATCGAAACATTATTTCAAAATGCATTTTAACAAAATAATGGGACTAAAAAAAGACATAATTATTTATAATTTAATCAAAATCCAATATTATCAAAATGCGGAAAAGTGGACGGTCAAGATTATCAATGGCGAAAGAAAAACCTAGAAACAATATATGGCGGCAACATGAAATAATTTTCTCAAAATTCCGTAAGTACCCAATCCAGAAAAATCCAATGGCGCGCCCTTTTTGTACTGTCCACAACAATTTGGAGGGTGGACCGTTTTGATCAAAATATTTGTATCCAAGCCCTTTTTCGTCTTTTCAACCTCCCCGCGCCTTAGGGTTTTCATAAACTCCAATAACAACGGACCCCTGAATATTTCCACCCCGCCCCCTTTTTTTTATCAGTCGGTCCTCTCTCTTTCTCTATATATGTCGGTTTCAATTCAATCTTATAGCCGAATTCTTCTTCACTCACTGAAACCTCATCTACCCTTCTCGTAATCTCTATGCCCTTTTGCTCTATTTATACACGTGTATTTATAGGAGCTGGTATTTATCAAAGGTTTGATTTTTACTTAGAAGAGTGATCATAGCATTCTGAACAAGTGTATTCTAGCTGTTTGATCCATAAATTTCATCTGGGATTGGTAAAAATCCTTCAGTATTTGATATCAAATGGTGGATCTGAGTGATAAAGTAAGTGATCAAGTTCATGAGCTTAGTTTTGTATGAATTTCTGTTAGTAAGTGTATTTGCATGATCTGTTAAAGTTGAGATTGATTGATTTTAATTATTTGATTTGATTCAACAGGGATTGGATTCTGAAGACATGAAAACCCAAAATCAAATTTGTGATAAGGCTTTATCTGATGGTACAACCCATGTTAAAACTTGTGTTGATTGTGGCACCTCAAAAACTCCCCTATGGAGAGGTGGTCCTACTGGCCCCAAGGTATATATAGATATAGACTTAATACGTATGTATTTTTTTGGGGGGATAAGGAGCTATGAATCTGATTTACTGAATGTTTTGCTACGTGCAGTCTCTTTGCAATGCATGTGGGATCAGGAGCAGGAAGAAGAGAAGGGCTCTAATGGGAGTGAACAAAGAAAATGAGAAATCAAAGAAATATGCAAGCTCCAAGAATAGTACTCACAGCAATGAAAGTAGTATCAGCAGCAGTGGGGAGAGTACCAGTTATAAGATTGGAGATTCATTGAAGAGGAAATTGTGGTCATTTGGTAGAGATGAAGCACTGCAAAAACCAAGATCAAATACTCCACAAAGGAGAAAGTTGGGCGAGGAAGAGCAAGCGGCATTTCTTTTAATGGCTTTATCTTGTGGCTCTGTTTACGCTTAAGAGTTGTACCAGCAGCAGTTATAGTAGTACCGTTTGTTCAAGTAGTTGTACCATGAGCTCAAAAAGGTCAAAAAGACAAATGGAGTTGAAATGGGGTTTTTCTATTGTACCTCTGATAGTAGATAAATGAATCTCATTTAATTTCATTTTCTTGAAATTTTGTTTCTAAATTTGTTCAATTGTTGCGAATGAACGGCCTTGATTATTATTGTCTTATTCATGGGAAAATTAGACTGCATACTCTA